AGGAGGCTGCGTTCCTTCAACACAGCAGTCTGTGGAACAGTGTTCATGGTACAAGCCTGTTTAACCAGCACAGTGAACTGCATTAAAAGCTAATGGAGCTCACGGTTTAGGTGTTTTAACTCGCAGTTTCTGCACATGAAGGTGATGCCTATTAAAACAGTGATTACTTTAAGAAAGTGATATGTTTCATTTTTAAACTCTGCTACTTGAGATTTGCAGTGCAGCTGCACATAGCACTTGCAAAGACACACTCACACATTGATGCTGACTCTGACAAAAATAAAATGTTCTGTGACATTTGCTAAAAGGAACATTGTCCTGAGCCTCTGAACTGTTTGCTTAAGATGATCAGTTCATGAGTATTCTGGAATATTGATATTTTCAATCAAATTTTCATATTTCTGTTCCACTGAGGTCATTGCTCAGTCATTGTTCTGTCACACTTGATTCTGTGGTGACTATGCATGGTACTCAGGGATCTGTGAAAAATATATCAAATAAATACCATCAACATAGCATATTTAAAGAAAGGTTTTTAAGAAATCAAATCACTTTCAGTAGCCATTATGTATGATATCTAAAAAGCAGACTAGGCTCCATTTTAGTTTTTGTCAAATGTTCAGAGCATGCAATAAGAAGGATTCTCTATTTTACAATGCTATTATCTAGAGAAGCAAAAACAAAATGAAGGAAAATGGTTTAAAATATATACAGAGCCAAAACTATTTAAGACGGAGTGCTCAGAAAAGGTAGGGGATAGAGGAATTTTTTAAACACAGCTGGTTGAAATCAAAGCCTGATATTTCCTGCCAAAAAAGTTAATTATCCATCAACTAATCCCTGTGCTATAGCCACCGAGGCAGTCTGAAGGTCACTGGGCCTGCACGCTTTTTGTGAACTGGTTGGGGGAAGAAAGTCAAATTGCACATCGGTTTCAGACGCTGTGAAATCAGGCTTGCATGAGAATGATGAGCTGCCCAGTAATCAGGGAAAAGAGTTTTAATATTTGTAGCAGAATCACCCCCAAACTCTTGGAGGGTTTTTAGGAGTTGCTTGCAGACTTGTAGAGTCTCCAGTGTCACTGAATAGGTGAGAGGTCAGGAGAGATGCACTAGCTAGCTGGGATAGAGTCTGCATACAGCACTGGTAAATTATTTTAAATAAACATTTCCTCATTTCCTTTAGGAATGGCACTGCCCAGTTTTTCAGCAGCACTTATCTGCCTGTGGTAAATATCAGCCTCGCTTATGACCGTCTGCATAAGGCCCTGCATTACACATACGGTTGTGGTATAACATTGCTGTCTTCGAGTAATATCATTTTTTGCTTGGTGTTTTCACTTGCTTATCACAATTTCAGAATCTGTTGTTTTTAGAATTGATAATAATCATGTACAATTCCTTTGTAGCTTATTATCTTAAAAGCTGCTACCTAAATTACAGTAGATTGAAACTTCTCAGTGATCACTTATAACCTCAACAAATGCATATAGATATTATCACTAGAATTGCAAAAAATTTAATGGTGCACTACATTTTGGAACAGACATGACTTACAGTAGGCAAATTCCATGTGCAGATTATCATTTGTCCGTCCGTTCAACAAGTGACTAGATAGATGATAGATACTTTATTGATCCTGTGAGGGATCAGTACAGTGAGAAGTGCACTAAGAAGAGTTACTCACAGTCCAGACTAATGGTAGCATTGCCACTGTTGGAAACAATACAAGTTGCACATCTGGCGCAGTGGTTAGCATTTCTGACTCGCAGCCCTTTCTTTCCTGACCTGGGGTGCGATCTGGATCTGTATGGAGCTTCTTTTCCCCATGTTTGTGTGGGTCTGCTCTGGGTACTCCCGTTTCCTTCCACTGTCCAAAGACATACTGGGAGGTTAATTGTCATCTGGGAAAACTGGCTCTGGTGTGACTGTGTGTGTGTTTGTGAACTGCATGTCTGCCCTGAGACGGACTGATGTCCCTCCCAGGGTGTACCCTGCCTCGTGCCTGTTGCTTGCCATGACTGGCTCCATCTCCCCTGGGACGCCGACTTGGAAGAAGCTGTTAGAAAACGGATGGATAGATCAATTGGTACTTCCTTTACCTGCAGGCCCTAGCACAGGCCTGTCCTATCCTGATGCTGGAGGGGCAGAGTCTTAATAATAATAATAATAATAATAATAATAATAATTGCTTACACTTATAAAGCTCTTTTCTGGACACTCCACTCAAAGTGCTTTACAGGTAATGGGGACTCCCCTCCACCACCACCAGTGTGCAGCCCCACCTGGATGATGCGACGGCAGCCATAGTGTGCCAGAACACTCACCACACATCAGCTCTCGGTGGGGAGGAGAGCAGAGTAATGAAGCCAATTTATAGAGGGGGATTATTAGGAGGCCATGATTGGTAAGGGCTAATGGGAAATTTGGCCAGGACGCCAGAGTTACACCCCTACTCTTTTCGAGAAACACCCTTGGATTTTTAATGACCACAGAGAGTCAGGACCTCGGTTTCACGTCTCATCCGAAAGACGGCGCCTGTTTACAGTATAGTGTCCCCGTCACTATACTGGGGCATTAGGACCCACGTGGACCGCAGGGTGGGCAGCAACCTTATTTTTTCCCAGGAGGTCTCCCATCCAGGTACTGGTGGGTTTTCATTGCCACTGGGCTCTTGGTGAGCTAAACCAGCTGATCACTGGCTTATCTGGAGCAGTAGAACGGCTTCTCCCAGCTGCTGCTTTAAAGAGACCTGGGAAAGTTGCAAACACTCTGGATCTCCGGGACCAGAACAGGACGCCATGCTCATTGGCTGTAGTTGCAACAGTAAAATCCCCAGCGTGAACAGGGTTTCAATCTTTCAATCTCTATTAAACTGCACATTCCTGTGCTTTCTGTACACTGGAGAAAAATAGTAAACATGTTCTGCTTCTGGTTTTCTTCACATCTGTCTAAAGTGACCTGAACAAACACCCCTCCAGCTCCTAGCATCCTCGCAGACATCTCACACACCTTGTTCTCAGCAATGACCCACAAAGTGCCTAACCAGCAACCTGAGATAAAAAGCTACTCAGAAAGTGCTCCAAAAGCCACAGAGGTGAAACAACATCATTAAATGCAAATAAAACACTGATGTCAGCCATTAAGTGAGACAGTGTGACAGCTCCATCCGGTGGTTGCACTGTGCAATGAAAACAGAAGACCGCCGTATACTTAAGGACACAAGAAACGGAAGAAATAAGAAGAGGTATTTGGCTAATGTAGCCCATTTGGTTGCAAGAAACTAATTATTCCTTGTATCTCACCCAGCCACTTCTTGAAACAATGGTACCGGCTTAAACTACAGGCCTTAGTTTCAAATTCACATCTGCTTAGTTTCTGGTTGACTGGCACATGATAGTTTCAACAAGAGCACAGCCAAAACCTAGTTGCACTACATTGATGAGCTCTGCAATGGGGCTGAAACTGATGTGCATCCAGCCAACATGTGAATCCAGGTGGTAGTTATCTTAGGCAATTCAAAGGCACCAATTAAACTCATTGAAATTCTTTGGGGGGGGGGGGAACTGAAGAAAAATCACCAAAATATGGGTGGAACGTAAATTCCACCTAGAAGGTACCCCAAACCGGAATCGAACCCAGGGCTCAAGGGCTGGGAGGCAATAGCACTGACTGTTTCTATCGCTTCACCAGAATTTGTGATTTTTTGAGCGCCCGTGTGTAATTTGTGTACGTTTGGGCAGCTTTTGTGCTTTTGATCGATAAAACGGATACACGGGATGTGTACTGTGGATAGGACTGCAATGTGGGAGATGCACTACACAAAGAAAAAGTTCAAAATCAGCCACTTTGTCTGGCTTTGGTCTCTCGCTTTGCGAAATGGTTCAAGAAGGTGGTTGTAGAAAGTCCAGAGAAGAACAAGCCCCATTTCAGGGATGAAGGGACTTATTTTCAGTGCTGGAAGATGATATCTGAGAGCAGGCCTTATTGACACTTTCCCAGTTTCAAAGGGAATCCATAAGGAAGAAACCAAATAAGGTGAGAGCTCACAGGCAGAACTGTTGCACCTGTACAAGAAAACACTTTTTCACACAGTTATCAGTTCCCTTGGCAGGCTGTGGCCGAAAAGATACTGGAACTGTTTTTGGTGCCATGATGGCATCGCTAAGTTTGTCCAGAAATGATAAGCACAGACAGCATGGATGGCCTCTCATCACCTGTAGTTTTCTCATGTTCTTGTTTTTTTTTTTAAATAAGGGCCTGTTTTCATGCACCACAGTGGCTAAATATTTCTACTGCTTATTTGAGAGGGCAACGAAAACGATAATATCATAATTATAACCTTTAATTAACAGAATCATTAAATAACCTTTGATTTTACCAGTGCTTGGTGAAGGCCTTTTTTAGGAGTTTAAATCTGACAGCAAGGAGTGTAATTATTACAAACATTTGTCTGTACAGAATAAAATACTGTCACGAGTCTTCATTTCCCTATGTACTGAAACAACTAGTGCTTTATAAATGACCCAGAAATTCAAGAACAGATTACAGTATTTTACTGTAGTTCGTTCTTGATTATTTTACGTTACTAATGCTAGTCATATTAGTAATGGCTAAGAAGATTACTTCAGTGAACTTGGGAGTTAAAAATGAGTAAAACAGGCAGAAGAAAATGTGCGCATGTATAAATAATGTTTTAGAAAATAACCTGAGTCTAATATTAGCTAATTGCATATTGGTAACTAACAACAAATGCGGATAAACCTAATTAAATTTAGCCCGTGCATGAATTTGAGGTGCTGTCGATGTGTTGTTGGGACGGGGAGACTGGCATGGGAACTGCCAGGCCTAGAGGAAACATGTGCGGACATATTTTTCAAAGCTATTCTGGCGCTGGGGGGGGGGGGAGAGAATCGACAGCAATGCTGAACTCATATTACGTCTTTTTGTGTTTTCACGGTGAAAAACTGAAATCCAGTTATTTCAAAGAGCGCAATATCGCTTCGAATGGTTAGACTACGAACTGACGTCTATAGAATAAAGAGTCGCCCTTTCCTATTTCTAATAAATGCGCCTGGTCTTAAACATAAATCACAACACAAGAAACCCCCTCTTTTGTTCCGTTCAAATACGTGCCATTTTTGTTGTCCGCTGAAAAGCGTGTAGTCAGTGTGAGACGAGTAAATGAGACGCTAATTAAAAGCTTCCTGCGTTGTGAAGACTAGCGGGCAACATTATTCAATTGTGCATCTTTCACGATGTGAGCCGCTGTCTCGTACTTGGGGAGTATTTTTAATTTTTGTTCAGTCGAGCCATTGTAAATCAGACGGTAATGAAAGCCGTTCTTCGCCTGCAGCAACCAGAAGTGAACAGTAGGCGACCCGGAAGGTCTGAACTCCGATTGAAGGCAGGCAGAAAGAACATCTCAACCTTTTTTAATATATATATACAAGAGACAAAATCTGCAATCGGGGATCAAGGTCTGTATGCAATCCTTCATTGTCTTTCTATCTGAGAACTTTAAACATGTTCTGGTGCGCGCATTGCATGTTTAAAAGAGTTAATTTCGTTCATTTGAGTCGGGGGAAAAAAGTTGCAAATTACAAATATTACAAAAGCAAGCGCATGTTTGGGAAAGACAACCTCCTTTTGGGATTGTAAAACATTTCCCTCTGTGTCGTGGCCAAAATGCAAGATCTAAAAGGCTGCGGCGGTGGCCTTTTTCAGGATAAATTTGAATTGCAAAAAAAGCATCCGAGCGCCTTAGCAAATGCAGTGCAATTTTGCAAGGCATGATTGTTGTAGGAAGTGTCTAGTTTTTTTTTTTTAAGAGCCGGGCTATTCAAACCTGCAATTCTTCGTAAACAATCATTCATGCCCTTAATGCAAATAAACTGGTCTCAAATTTCGATTTTGTCAGATTACTTTCGTTTTTTAAAGGTGAATTGTTTTAGTAAATTTGGGATCTGCAGAATATGGCGTCCTGTCCTTATAAAAATAAGACAGGCTGCCATTTTTGTTTTCCTTTTGTCTGAAAATTTTAATAAAACTGTCTGAGAATGTGGGAGAGGCACCGGGTGAGGGTACTAGGCGGAATCGCGACTTTTTCTTTTTGTTGAAATGCTGACAGTCGGGTCCTACATTTTACGTGAACGGGTTTGCGAAAAGTAATGGATTTTTATCTGAATCAGTCGCTTGGTGCCTGGTGAAATTAAAGAAGAAAAGTTAGGCAACTTTGAGTTGTGGAGTGCGGAACTTTTTCGGATAATCTCCAGTCTGAGAATTAGTCCGACCAAATGATCAGCCACATAAAACGTCCTCTAAAAAATAAAAGTAAATACAAACGTATCAGCGTTGTACTTGGCTCTAGCGGCGAAAGAAACGTGAGTGTTCGGCATATTTTATTTTTAACGATGGTTTTTATGGCTGATGGGTGCCTAGCGTGAATGAAGCGTCTCGTTTTTTAAAAGACGTCGATTTACATTAAAAATACATTATTTTATGGTTTTACTTGTAATCGCTCAAAGGGGAGCCAGCTTTTATTTTAATGACGATCTACATTTTAAAGAAGTAACTGGAAGCAATGCTGGGTGACATTAATAGTAAAATGTTTCCTCTAGCGTGGAAAAGAGCTCTGTGATTTATTGACACATACAATAGAGCGCGGTACAGTGTTACATTTGTGACTGCATCTGTTTTGTCCAAACCTTAAACACAGAGGTGTGAAACTAACACACATGATCTTTGAGGCGGGCAGTACAATTCGCAGTCAAACACCGGAGTCGTTGTTTTTCCCAATAGGTCCAAGTGAAAACTGGATTCCGGTGCCGTAGATGTCTGGTGTCCTCTGAGAGTCTGTCACAGTAAAATCCCAATTCCAGGGTTTAAGGGCTGCTATCCCTTAAACAGGTTTACAGGTATCTTTTACATCTCCATCTTCCTAAGATCATGGAGAGGCTTTAATCCGTTCAATTGGATAATTAAGGACATGGAAAGGAAAGAAGACCACAGATCGTCTGGCTGTCCGGGACTGGAGTTGTGCGCCTTTGGTCTGTGTTTCACCAAGTGGAGTTGAAAAGTGTGCTGACAGCTTTGTCTCAACCTGTCTCTTAAGTACAGATTCATCTTAAAAGTCAAGCAGCTGTTCTGGGTCTCATACTGTAAGTGTGGCCAGTTACGGGAGTGAACTTCACGGAATTCACTTATTTTTGGCACAGCCAATTGCCTTGAAAATAGGGTCGTACTTGACCATTAAGAGTCCCAGTTTGTGAATTTGTGTGCTTAGTCCCAGAATCATCTTCAGATGCTCCTAGAGAAATGCACGAGGTAGTGAAGTGAAGGCTTAACTGGGGCAGGATTTAAGTAGGGCTCTGGTGAAGTAAATCATGTCCAATGGTTATTCAGTCTTCTTCGAAAGGAAGTTATTGGACTGACTAACTTGTTTTTCATTGGCGTGTCTGTTTCAGTATTGGAATGGCTGCTTCATTCCATTAGATTTTTAGCAATTTGTTTAATTTCTGGAGCAACAATGCAAAATTATTCAAACAAGCTCATGCAGAGATCTGCCTTTTAGTTTTGGGAGCTAATTCAATTTCTTCCCAAATAGTGAGTCTTGGATCGCACTCACTGTTGCCCTGTTCGCAAGTCACGTGTCTGGTTGAAAAGTCCTACATGTTGGACCCTCATGACATTTCCAGATGTCCAACTGGGTCTTTGTAGTGCTGAAATTTAAACTTGGGTTGTTTTAAACATTTGTAATACGCAAAATAATTGCTAGCATAGAAGCTGAATTTTTTTTTGATGCATTTAAGTTTTGTTTAATTATTTTAATTATGTTTAATTAATGTTTTACTTAATTCTTTAGAGCAGTTTACCGCCCCCCTTGGTCCCAAAGTCAGGGGGTTCTCTGATGGGCATTCAGCTGTGTTGTTCTTCACATGATTGGATCTGATCAAGTGGGGCGATTGATCTGAACTACAACATGTTCCCGGTCACCAGAGATTGAGTTCTCTGGAAAATCAGTAGAGTTGAGCCTTCCCTGGACCAGGAGTAAGAGAGAATGCTGTATCGTATGCCTGACCAGTGATCTGATTCTGGGTGAATGGTACCAGAATGAAGAGGAGCAGCAGAGAGAAGCTAGGATGACAGGCTGTGGGTTCGAGTCCCCACTGTAGACACTGCTGTTGCATGTTGAGTGAGGTGCTTTACCACAGTTTCTCCAGTCCACCTGTATAAACCTGGACCAGCACTGCACAGACGTCACCCCTGGGATATACCAGTGTCCTATCCAGGAAGGGATATACATGTCTTAGTCTGCTTAAGGCTACAGAAGCCAGGGTGATCTCAGGCCTCATGAGTCTCTATGCAGTGAGGTGGGCTTTGCTTGCTGAAGAATTACTTTCAGCAGGACCACAGCTTGATACTCCATAATAAGGATGGAACTGGGAAAACGAAGTAAAATACCCAGGGCGATTTATTTCGATTACTGGAGCGCCGAAGCTCTGTGGAGAGACCAGCACCGTTGCTCTTGGCTACATGTGTGCAGAAACACACCTAAAGCATGTGTTTAATCGCATCACATGGCCTCACAATGGAGGAATTTCAAGATCTTCCCCCTTTATTTAAATTTTTTATTGTTTAATGCATGCCATACATGTCTTATTCAATACTTATTCTGATTTTTTGTGAATATTCTTATATATGCCGAGAACAAACAACCACTTTTTTTTTTTGTATTAACATAACAGGATTTAAGTAATATGGTTACAGCACACCCAGCTGTGACCAACTCCAGTGGAAAGCTGTGATTTATCTTAATCCCAGAGGTTATTGTGCAGTGCTAGGTTTCTGGATCATTGCTGTGAAATTGCTCTCCAAGACTGCTGGAAGACAATCACCTTCAGCTTCATGTGGTTGTCTTACCACTCCTGTGTTGCGCTAAGACAGTAAAGACCTCTTTCTCAAACTAGTTTGTGGCCCATAATCAATACATTCATCCCTCAAATAACCATCCTTCGATTTTTTTTCTTCACTTGCAGTTTAATGTTTGCCCAGGCAGAGTTTTAGGGATGTTTCTAAATGTATGTTAGTTCTTAGGTTATAGAATAAATCCAAATGACCATTTGCGGCTACGTGCGTCATGTTTCATGTAGAAAAATCACAGGAAAACTTTCCTTCCTCCAGACTGCAGATCTATCTGTTGGTAGCTAGTTTTAAGTGATAATCATCTCGGTGTCGGTCGGGATAAACCCAATCGACTGAGCATTTCATAATCCCGTTGTTGACATTCTCTTTTTAAAGCATTTTTGTTTCAGTTCTGTTTGGTACCCTTCCATGGTAGATTATTTCTATCTGCAAATGTAATATGAGAGGGTTGTTGGTCATCATTTTTTTTTTCTTGTGCCCTCACAGTCTGCCAGACAATGGCTGTAACCAAAGTAAATTTCCTCAGTTTCTGACTCCCCACTGTCCATAAAAGAGTGGACAGAAATCTATGCTTATTGAATAAACAGAACCATATATTTTGTCATCTAGGGTGCTTTTCTATTTAATAGTTCTGAGCTATCCAACCTCAATTGAATTTGTTGTTTTTTGAACAGATAGCATAGGAGTGCTTTCCTGAGGATTTTCCTTTCTAAATTTTTAGCCCTCACGTGAGAGCCTCAATACTCTCACAGGGGGCTGTGTGCCTCAAGTTCCGTTTGCTTCTTAAACGCTTGGTCGTTGGTCGGACAGCCATTTTCTTTCCACGGCCGTGTTCACTGCGTGTTTGGGCACTGTGGTTTGCCCCACAGTCCATTTCACTTACCAGAAACTATTTTTTTTTCTGTGCCAAAAAAAGCAAAAATGATAGGTGCCAGCGTGTGCAATTATACTTCATGAAAATAGTTGGTGATGTAGGCAGAGTAGTGCCTGTCAAAGATAAGGCCTCTTCAACCTGGCAGAGGATGTAAACAAAGTGGCTTTCTGGAATGCGTTAAACATTTGATTAGAGTGCAAGACCTTCATTCCCTTTGAAAAGCAAGGTTTACTGACCTTATAAGCAACAGAGTCAGACTCAGATGGTCAGAAGCCATTCTTTCAATGTAGAGTTCATCCTAAAGCCTGGAAACTCCTGTCTTCCAGTACCTACCAGTACTGTCTGACAGTCTCTTGGCCAGGAGGACGTGACTATCAGGGTAGGGCAGCTGGAGACTCCTTTGGTTGTTAGCTGGTGTAGGAAAAGGTGCACAAGCACCATGTTTGTATTTGAGTCTGGACATTTGTTTTTTTTTTTTGGTCAGGGAAGTTCACTAAGAAATGTGTGCCCAAGAAGGCCAGGAAATGGAAAGACGCAAGTTGGAATCACGTTGTCTGATAAAATGACGTTTGTAAGTCATTTTCTGAACAACCATATTCTGATTAATAGAGGATTGTCACGCCTTTATTTTCCCGTATGCCAGTCATCGTCTCCTCGCTTTTAATTTCGAGGTAGTTAATT